CAAAAAAAACCAAAAAAAAAACCCAACCCCCACTCACTTGACTTCCTCATAACAATGACGTCACCACACTTGTCCGTCTCACTGAGTGCTATCTCGGGTATGATGATGAGAATCCTCCTCCGTTTCTCCGGCTTGATCTTCCACACGCACTCCACGTCCACCGGGTACTCACCCGGGTAGTTAGGACTCTCCAACACACCGAAGAAGTCGCCCACATACCGACCACAACGCCGGTCTGAAACACACAGCACAGCGCAATATCCACAATTATATTATTATACTAGCTGGGCCCCCTTTCGATGAAAGGAATGATCGGTGCATTAACATCAACTGAATATCATTGGTCTACTATATTTACACTCTTCTGGAATGGAGCAATAAATCTTGAGAGAAAAGTGACACATGTGTTTCCAAGTTGCCAAATAGATAATAGATGTATAGATTGATTCTCTATTCCGCTATCGTGGTTGTACACTCCAGAATTTCAAAGGTGTGGAATGAGTGCGCACTCTTTGTGAACGGAAGCCTCACTTGTTCACAATGGCGTCTAAGAAGACGGACTTTCCCAAGATTAAATCTAAACGAAACTAATGACAAACTGAAAATTAAACTTCAGTGACTTCAGACTCCTCAGTAAAACTGTGCACCCTTTAAATGATTCTGAATCACCGTTAATTTTTTCAAATTTGAAAGTTAAGTGGTTCCGAAGTTTTAAGCGGCTAAAGTGACGAACTTTCACAAATATAATATGACTTGTATAGATGGTGGAATCAGGCGCTTGTCAATTCTGGGGCAAATGCTGTTGTTATTGATACATGTATCATCCAAAGAACTTTCCATTTGTCTTGTTTTTTACTTAAAAACCCCCCACAAAGAAGCATAAAACAAACAAACAAAAAACAAACAAACAAACGAACAAACAAACAAAAACAGATAATGTACGTACAGTAGTTAAAAGAGAATGAAACAGTTTGGGTCTTTCTTCTGAAAAATTTTGCTCTCTGAGCTTAAGACAATTGAATAGCTCATAAAGACAAAAACAAACACCTAGATACACACACAGGCACACACAC